CATATTTCCTTCTGGATAGAGAGCATTATGAAAAACAGTAAATGGAAAACTATAATATTATTAAGATACGCGATCGCATAGTTTTTAAGTTTAGCATAATTTTATTTAGTAATTACAAGAGCCGCACGATCTGCAAAATACATCATTGAACGAATATCAACACTTGCAGTTGGCTATCCTCGATGTTTATGAACCAGTTTAGTTTTTTACCTAAGGGTATATTCTTCCAGCCTATATGTCGAGGGAGATAAAGATAACAAATTATCGAAGCGACGAAAGAATCGGAGAAATCATTTCAAAGCGCTGCTTGTCCACTCCAACTAAAAAGAACCCTGCGGCTACTAAGTAAAAAGAACAGAAGCTCCTGCTTCTAAAAAACAACACATTAGGAAACGGAAAAAATGGAAAGAAGCGGTTAGATCGTGAACAAATAAAAATAATCGCTTTGGTTTTCTGCAAACAATATGTTTGAAAATTAATTCTGTCGTGGCGAATGTTAAAAATGTTTAAACACGGGTAGACAACTGAACACGCAGCCTAAAAACCGCTTGTGATTTAATTAACAACACTCAACAAAGTAACTACTGATTAGTGAGTTCTACTATAAATAAACTTTCGGTAAATCTTCGCGAGTCCGTTAAAAATAGATATTTCTATTGAATTCTGCAAAAGGAAATTAATAAATTTACGCCCAAGAAAATCTAAGCATAATAATCTTAACTACGCTGAATGCTAATTCAAAAGTTATCGAAGAAGTTAGCAAAGAATAATCTAAGCAAATTACCAACTTGCCAAATTAATGAAACTAACATTTGAGTGATTAGAACACAGGAAAAATGTGGCAGATGCCTATTAGAAATATTATTTAATATCCCAGCTTTACAGACCGCCGCTTCACAGTCATTTTATTTAATTCATTCGTCACCAGATGTGCACATACATCCAAAAAAGGAGGAAGCTCGTTACAGGGGGCAGCAACAGGAAAAAGTCGCAACTGATACATACAATTTAAAAATTATTTTTAAAAAACTTGAATTTATGGGTTTAAATATTTGAATTGACGGGGAGTTTCAAACTGTTCAACACTTGAAACCGAAGTTAAAAACTAAAAAGTCAGATCCTGGTACTTCCGTAATCATTTTTAATTAAAGCTTTCTTGCTCTTCCGTTATTCGGAACTCAACAGTTGGCCAGAAGCAAGGGGAATAAGACTAATCGACGGAAAGCAGTGAATCCAGAATTCAAACAGAGAAGTCTCGCTCTGAATATTTGGGAGCCATGTATTCTTGATACAGTGACAATGGTGTGCCTGATAGGAGACTGTCTTATATGCATAGCCGTGTACAGAAATGCAAGGCTCCGTAAACGTCCACAAACCTCTACATGATTTCCTTAGCTATCAGTAATATCATCAACAAATGAATGATTTGAATAAACGTGGTTATTTCTTCATCTACTATCATAAGTCAAAGGAGTTCCAAACTATTCAACACTTGAAACCGAAGTTAGAAACTAATCAGTCAGATCCTTGTACTTTCGTGATCACTTCTTATGAAAGTTTCCTGTTGGCTAGAAGCAAGAAAAAAACACCGATTGACGGAAACTAATGGATTCAGAACTCAAACAGAGAAGTCTTGCTGTGAATGTTTTGGAGCCATGTATCCTTGTCACAATTACAATGGTGTGCCTGATTGGAAACAGCCTTATATGCATAGCCGTGTACAGAAATGCAAGGCTCCGTGCGTCCACAAACCTCTACATAGCTTCTTTAGCTATCAGTGATATCATCAACGCAGTCATTGTGATGCCTTTAACTTTGGGTGTCCTTATTACAGGGAAATGGCCATTCGGTGAGGCAGTCTGCGATTTCCACGCCTTCTTCACCCTGTTTTCTATTTACGTATCCCCAACCACGATGGGACTGACGGCCTTCAACAGATACGTCCGCATCGTTAAGCCTCAACACTACTCACGAATCTTCACTGATTCTCGATCAAAAGTATATGTCGCAGCAGTTTGGCTGACTGTCGCAGGGTACATTTCAATTCCCAAGATGGCAGGCTTGACTAAATATCGCTTCTTCGCTGGATATGCCGCTTGTATCGTTGAGCAACCCACCACAGCCATCATGATAGTTCAGCATATCATTGCCGTCTTGTTTTTCTTTCTTCTTCCACTCGGTGTTGCATTAGTTTCCTACTTCAAGGTCTTCCAGAAAATAAAACATCACAATATGAACATGGCTTCCACGGCCCACGCCGAGGGCAGGGAAAATCGATTGACTGTCAAAGAGATCAAGCTTACCAAATCACTCGCCATTGTTGTGTTCGCCTTTTTATTATGTTGGATTCCATTTTGGATCATTGTGATGATAAAGCGCTTCGCTTCTGATGTTGTCGTTCCACGTAACATCCAACTTCTGTGTACATTTTTGACGTTTTTCTCGAGCACTATAAACCCATTTATATATGCTGGCATGAATCCCTCCTTCCGCGCCGAGTTTCGTCGAATTTTGCTCTGCAAAGTAAAGTCATCACAACTCTGTGAGGAGCCTTGTTGTCCAAAAGAGGTTGAGTTAAAGAAAATATTAGCGAGAAGCGCCCGTGGCACAGAAAATCAGGAAGAAGAGGGAAGTACCTTAGTCAGGGACCGGGCGGTCAACGTTCGGATTGAACCAAAAGCAAAGGATCTCAGTAAAAAGATATCAATTTAAGCGATAGATTTAATATATTTACTATCGCAGCATCATTCATGTATTGGTTACTTAATTGCTTGTTGATTTAATTGATGATGAATAATATCCGTTGTTAATCGACTAGACGTTAGAATGTTTAGTACGTCAATTTCAAGTTATAAATAACTTTGTCTAACTTTGTTTTCCAAAAAAGATGAGCAGTGACAAATATCGAATCCAAAGATAATCGAAATGAAAAGAATAATTACCAATGATGAAACTATAAAAACAACTTCCTCATTTCCATAAAAAGCAAGCAACATTTTTAGTTTACAAAACATGTTTCGACATTTTCATAATGTAACTTCAGTGCATGCTCGTTTAGAAAAATTTTTAGTTAATTACTTTACACTGGTAATTAGAGTAAACCAGGAAAAACGAAAACATAGCTAATAAGTGAAAATAAGTAAAATAATGACAGACTATTTGAAATATAAAAAAATATTAAAAAATTGAGAATTTAAACTAAAAAGAAAGAAAAAATTTAAGTGTTTTAACAGATGTAGTGGAGTTGGATTCTTCCATTTAACATGCATTGCCTCGTTTACATTGAATGAATAACTGTATCGAAGGCCTCACTCAGGTCCGAGAATAAAATGAATGCATAATGATTCATTTTAAGTGGGGTACTAATTTCATCTAAAAGTTCAACCGATTGCAAGAAATCAGTTGTAGCCCTAATTTGCGTGAAATCATACTGATTATCTCTTGTTGGGTCTTCCATAGTTTAAAAGAATACTAATTGGTTACGAATATATTTTTCAAATATTTTTCTTAAAACAGAAAGGACTGACGTGGGTCTATGATATTCACAAGATGTATTCTAAAATATCGCCAAAATTAAACATTGATTCTAATTGGTCTAAACGAGTTCATTATATCTCCATAAAGCACGCAGTTACTTCATCAGAATGCATGATAGCGCAGCTTATGCACGCAAGCTACCTCACCAAGATTTGCCTAACGCAGAAAACAAAAATTCTGCTGGTTAACCATTATGGCTGAGGAAATTCTTTACTTCAACCTCAACTTCGGCTTCCTGCAAAGAAAATTCTTCAAGGGCAGAAAAGGAGAAAAATGTTTCCAGCCCTCACCGAAGAAGAAAGAAACGCAAATGGAAACGTAAGTGACAAAAATTTCAACCAACTGGGTTTCAAAAGATTTTAAGGTGCACAAATAGACTTATCACAGTCTACTAATAACAGAAAGAAACACTTGAAATTTAAACTGTATTTACCTTCTCGAGAGAGTGTTTTCTAAAAAGAGGAAAAAGTTGTATTCAACGTTGGGGACAAGCTAATAGAAAATGTGAAAGTTTCAGTGTCAACAGTAACGCCGTATTCGATACATTTAAATGATACCTATTTTTGTTTCGAAAATATGTCCTAATCAGAAGTTCAACTAAACGACAAATCTTTGTCTTCGAATGGAGTGCTAAAACAGTTTCACCCTTACCTGAACTTGAAGAAATGAAAAAAATACAGTCGGACGAAAGCCTGTAGCATGTCTCAGTTTTACAGTTAAGACAAGAGAGACGAAGAGTACAATAAGCCACCCTTAATTTACCACCCTATATATATATATATATATATATATATATATATCTTAGACGTCACTTTCAACCTGAAATAGAACACCTACCAGCCCTTCACAAACCTAACACCACACCACAATACGTCCACTGCGAGAGCAACCACCCACCAACCACCACAAAGAACATACCCGCCGGCATCAACAAACGACTGTCATCCCTTTCATCTGACAAAGCATCCTTCGACCAAGCCGTACCAAAAAGCACTCGACGAATGCGGATACCGTTACACTCTACATTACGAACCACGCACGACTAACAACCGGAAAAACAGACAAAGGAACAACATTCTCTGGTGCAACTCCCCATTCAGCAAAAACGTCAGCACTAATATCGGACACAGATTCCTTGCCCTAATAGACAAGTACTTCCCTAAAGACCACAACTTAGAAAATTTTTAATCGTATAACAATCAAGATACAGTTACAGCTGCATGAATAACACTAAACAGATCATCGACAACCACAACAAACGCATTCTAAATTCATCCAAACACATCAATGACACCGCAGATAACACCAACACAAAAGACAGCAAAACTTGCAACTGCCGACAGAAGAACACATGCTTACTTAACGGAAACTGCCTCCAATCATCACTAATCTACCAAGCCACCGTCACACGTAAGGACAACAGCACCACTGAAACATACATCGGACTTACAGAAAATGACTTCAAGACTAGGACAGAAACCACACCGCATCATTCCAACACACAAAACTCAGAAACTCTACAGAACTCAGCAAGCATATCTGTACCCTTAAAGAAAATAACATTGACCACTATATTTCATGGTGCATTCGTTCATCAAGATCACCCTACAACAGCGCAAATTAAAGATGCAACCTCTACCTCAACGAAAAATTACTCATCATTCGCCGACCCGAATTATCATCACTCAATAAACGTAATGAGCTCGTGTCCTCATGCCGCAGCTTCCGTTAATTGGGCATGTGTTCTCTGTCGGCAGTTGCAAGTTTTGCTGTCGATTGTGTTGGTGTTGGATAATCCGCAATGGGAAAATTCAATATTGGTTACTCCACAAAGAATATTCCTCCACCAAGAATGTTCCTCCACCATCGCAGAACGACTTCTTACCACGCCACGTTGAAAAAACCTAGCAGAATACGTTAGAAAGCTTACTTCTTCGACTCTGCCTCAGCTTACGACAACATCACTGACGACGAAAGAAACATCATAATACATGCAAAATATTCGATCCTTATGCACAAACAGCAACCTCGGCAAAAGAAGGGCGATACAACATTTGACGTCACAATGGGCAGCTACGACGGTGCTGAAACATGCGAGCTAAGGAGGAAGTTTCCTCCTTTTCCAACTGCAAAACCTCAACATCAACATCGGATTTTGCCGAGACGACGGACTGGCCATTTCCAACGCCACACCGAGAGATACAGAAAACATCAAAAAGGAAATACGCCGCATCTTTAATCATAATGGACTACGGATCACCATCGAAACCAACAAACAGACCATCAACTTCCTAGACGTCACTTTCAACCTGAATAAAAGCACCTACCAGCCCTTCACATAGCCTACACCACTCAATATCATCACTCAATAAACGTGATGAACTCGTGTCCTCATGCAGCCGCAGAAACAACGCGTTACCGCGTAACAATTGAACAAAGCATCTAAATTTACCGCCACGCCTATTATGCAAATCTGTAAAGTTTATAAACGATGGTTACGAATATTCTTGACAATAAAATCCCCTGGTGAGTGGGTAATCACGAAACAGGCTTCTAAGGATGAAAGTATAGTCCCTTTGTTTTTTTCCTTATCTAAGTGTACATCGCACTCTACTTCTACGTGTCGAGCATTGTACTAAGGGGAAATATCGAAACACAAATATATATATATATATACCCATCGAGACTTTTCAGGGTTTAATTACAATGAAAAAAATGATGTTTGAAGAATAACAAAAACCATAGTAATATCCTAATGCTTATGATAACTATATTTAAAAATTATATCAGTACTCCTTAAAAATATTGTTTAAAACTAGTTTAAAACTTAAAAAGAGTCATTACATCTAACACTTTTGGGCAGATTGTTCCACGCTGTAACTTCTCCACAAGAAACTGTTCTGACATGCAGATGAGCAGCACTTCGGAATCTGCCACAGACTTCTAGTGTTGCGGCCGTGGATATCTGATCTCATGATAAGCCTGTCGCTCAAGTACGATGGAGCTAGACCTTTGAGGCACTTAAAAGCCATAGCAGCATCTCTTAATCTTAGTTACCCAAGGTTATGTGATTTACTTTGGTTTTCCTTCGTTTTCAGAGGAGCTTGTTCGTTGCTTATGGTATTAAAGGTATGTAGAAATTCACTGAACTTTCATTTGTTTCAGCAGCTTTTAATATAGGAGACCAATAGGCCATTTTCGATATATTAAAATTCGAACTTTGCTCTGAGGCTTGGAGGAATAAAACAAAGGAAATCACATCGAGGTTGGGGAATGAATGATTAAATTATTTTGTTTTATTTCCCCAAGACTTGGAACCATGTGAGAATTCTAATGTATAGAAAATGGCCTATTAATCTTTCTTATATCAATTAAAAAATTGATTTTTTTGTCAAATTATTATTTCGCAATACTACCACCAATACTATAAGACACGAAATTGGAATGAATATGGTCAAGAAAAACTTCCTGAATTTTTCAGCGATCCTGATGACCTAAATTATCAGAGGATTGAAACCCTCGGATTCAGTATTAGAGATAAATGTGCTTATATTTAGGTCTCTAGGATCAAGGCGGTTAAGTTAGGGTTCGACCAGCCAGATGCATTGTCTCTTCAAGTTTATCAAGAAATTCCTTCAACTGTCTATTTGGCTGATTGTAAATAACCTTAACAGTCATGTCTGGTGTCAACATACCTATTTCCAGTTTTATCAATTTTTAAATCGCCTCTAATGTTGAAATCAAAATTTTGCTATATGCAGGGGGACACTCAGTCTCCAAAAGAGGAATTGCGAACATGAGTCACCATACTATAACCTGATAAGTCAAACTGCATTATATTATATTATATTGAGGTGTAAATCTTGTTTCAGAAAAAGCTAACATTTCAAAGAAAAAAAGAAAAGAGTGATTAAAGCCGATTATCTCACAAACATCACCGAGTTGTCTATTAATATGTTCAGGTGAAGTGCTGGTGGGTGTGGCTTCAAAACAACAGAGAGCTCCTTATTAAGAGTAAATATTCCATGATTATTGTAGGATAATCTATTAAATCAGGATCGCTCGAACAGTAGGCCCTTCACATAAAAATGATATCTACTCTTAATAAAAAATCACTTTGACTTGTAAACAATTACGAAATGCGAATTTATAGAACATGTATTGAGTATTTTTTCTCCAAACTTCACAAGGCTGCTATGGAAATCATAATTCCGACATTGGGCGGTCACTTGAATCGATATGTAACTACATTTTCAATCCGCATTTTGAAAATTAATCTGAAAAGGCAGAAAAAGATTACAGAAACCAGACAATGCAATTGAAAAGTAGTTACCTTTATGTTGCGATTTTGCCCTCACAATTTTCTTCGTATATCAACTTAGTGATTTGTGTTTACGTAACCTGATAAAGTTTTTTTTTTCATTTCTTGTGAAAAGAAACAGTCCTTGATTCCAGAATTCATGGATATACTAGCTTATTGAAAACAAATCAAAATTCACAGTCACCATTACTTTAGCTCATTTCTCGTCATGTTTTCTGATACGCAAAATATCTGTGAGGACCTTCAATATTATGCCCACCACGACCTCGTGACGAAAACGTCTCGATTTCGGAAAATGTCAGTCTTCATCATCACATTTAATAGTTTCGAACTTTTCTGAACGCCGAACATCTTCCATAGACGGCTTATTCGAAGCTATCAAGGAAGTTGACTACTTTCTATTAAAATTGAGAAAATCGTTTTAATAAAACACTCGACTGATTAGAGCACAAACAGAGTGGGGAAGAAGACTGGGCATTTCCCGCAGATAATTCAAAAGCTGTCGAAGAAGTTAACAAAGAATACTCTGAGAAATTGGGAAGAACTGTTTTATTGACACTTGAGTGATTGAAACGCAAGCAAAATGTAGCAGATGCCTATCGAAAATTTAATTTAATATCCCAGTTTTACAGACCGCCGCTTCACAGTCATTTTATTTAATTCATTCGTCACCACATGTGCACATACATCCAAAAAAGGAGAAATTTCTCTACAGGGGGCAGTAACAGGAAAAGGTCTCAACTGATACATACAATTTAAAACTTATTAGAATTAATTTGAATTCATTAGTTGAATTATTTGAATAAACCTAGTTATTTTTCTCATCTACTCTTATAAATTAACGGGGAGCTCCAAAACCGTTCAACAATTGAAACCAAAGTCAGAAAATAATAGTTAGATCCTTGTATTTCTGTCATCATTCTTTTATTAAAGCTTCCTTGCTCTTCCATTATTCAAAACTCAGCTGTTGGCCAGAAGCAAGGAAAAAAAAACTGGACGGAAAACAATGGATTCGGAACTCAAACAGAGAAGTCTTGTTCTGAATATTTTGGAGCCATGTATTCTTGTTACAGTGACAATGGTGTGCCTGATTGGAAACTGCCTTATATGCATAGCCGTGTACAGAAATGCAAGGCTCCGTACCTCTACCTGATTTCTTTGGTCATCAGGGATATCATCAATGAATGAATTATTTGAATAAACCTAGTTATTTCTTCATCTACTCTCATATATTAACGAGGAGTGCCAAACCGTTGACAGTAACAATGGTGTGCCTGATTGAAAACAGCCTTATATGCATAGCCGTGTACAGAAATGCAAGGCTTCGTTCGTCCACAAATCTCTACATTATTTCTTTAGCTATCAGCGATATCATCAACGCAGTCATTGTAATGCCTTTTACTGTGGGTGTCCTTATTACAGGGGAATGGCCTTTTGGTGAGGCAGTCTGCGATTTCCACGCCTTCTTCACCCTGTTTTCTGTTTACGTATCCCCAACCACGATGGGACTGACGGCCTTCAACAGATACGTCCGCATCGTTAAGCCTCAACACTACCCACGAATCTTCACTGATACTCGATCAAAAATATATATCGCTGCAGTTTGGCTGACTGTCGCGGGGTACGTTTTCAATTCCCAAGATGGCAGGCTTGACTGAATATCGCTTCTTCGCTGGATACGCCGCTTGTATCGTTGAGCAACCCACCATAGCCATGAAGATAGTTCATTGTATTATTGTCGTCTGTTTTTTCGTTCTTGTTCCACTCGGAGTTGCATCAGTTTCCTACTACAAGGTCTTCGGGAAAACAAAACATCACAATCTAAACATGGCTTCGACGGCCCACGCCGAGGGAAGGGAAAATCGATTGACTGTCAAAGAGATCAAGCCTACCAAATCGCTCGCCATTGTTGTGTTTGCCTTTGCACTGTGTTGGATTCCATTTTGGATCATTGTGATGATACAGCGCTTCGCTTCTGATGTCGTTCCACGCAATATCCAACTGCTTTGTCCCTTTTTGATGTTCTTCTCGAGCACTATAAACCCATTTATACCCGCGCCGAGTTTCGTCGAATTTTGCTCTACAAAGCAAAGTCATCACAATTTTGTGAGGAGCTTCGTCGTCCAAAAGATGTTGAGTTAAAGAAAATATTCGAGAAGCGCCCGTGGCACAGAAAATCAAGAAGAAGAGGGAAGTACCTTAGTCAGGGATCGGGCGGTCAACGTTCAGATTGAACCAAAAGCAAAGGATCTCAGTAAAAAGATATCAATTTAAGCGATAGATTTAATATATTTACTATCGCAGCATCATTCATGTATTGGTTACTTAATTGCTTGTTGATTTAATTGGTGATGAATGATATCCGTTGTTAATCGACTAGACGTTAGAATGTTTAGTAGATCAATTTCAAGTTTATTTAACCTTGTTTTTAAAAACGATGAGCAGGGATAAATATCGAATCCAAGGATAATCGAAATGAAAAGAATAATTACCAATGATGTAAGTGTAAAAACAACTTCCTCATTTCAATATAAAATAAGTAACATTTTTAGTTTACAAAACATGTTTCGACATTTTTATACCGTAACTTCAGTAACGAAAACACGGCATGCCCGTTTTAAAAATTTGAGTTAATTACGTTACGCTGATATTTAAAGTAAACCAGGAAAAACGAAAACATAACTAATAAATAAAAATAAGTAAAATAATAACAATAGATATGAAATATGAAAACATATGAAAGTTAAGAATTTAAACTAAAAGTAAAGAGAAAAATCTAAGTGTTGTAACAGATGTAGAAGAGTTGGATTCTCTCATTTAATATGCATTGCCTCTTTTACATTGAATGAATAACTGTATGGAAGGCCTCACTCAGGTCCAAGAATAAAATGAGTGCATAATGATTGATTTCAAGTGCAGTAGTAATTTCATCTAAAAGATCAACCAATCGCAAGATATCAGTTGTAGCCTTAATTTGCATGAAACCTTATTGATTATATCTTGTTAGATCTTCCATGGTTAAAAAGTATACTTATTGGTTACGAATCAATTTTTCAAATATTTTTCTTAAAACAGAAAGGACTGACGTGGGTCTATGGTAATCACAAGATGTATTTCGCTTAAATTGATATCTTTTTACTGAGATCCTTTGCTTTTGGTTCAATTCGAACGTTGACCACCCGGTCCCTGACTAAGGTACTTCCCTCTTCTTCTTGATTTTCCGTGCCACGGGCGCTTCTCGCCAATATTTTCTTTAACTCAACATCTTTTGGACGACGAAGCTCCTCACAAAATTGTGATGACTTTGCTTTGCAGAGCAAAATTCGACGAAACTCGGCGCGGAAGGAGGGATTCATGCCAGCATATATAAATGGGTTTATAGTGCTCGAGAAGAACATCAAAAAGGGACAAAGCAGTTGGATGTTACGTGGAACGACAACATCAGAAGCGAAGCGCTGTATCATCACAATGATCCATAATGGAATCCAACACAGTGCAAAGGCGAACACAACAATGGCGAGCGATTTGGTAAGCTTGATCTCTTTGACAGTCAATCGATTTTCTCTGCCCTCGGCGTGGGCCGTCGAAGCCATGTTTAGATTGATGTTTTATTTTCTTGAATACCTTGTAGTAGGAAACTAATGCAACTCCGAGTGGAAGAAGAAAGAAAAAGCAGACGACATTGATATAATGAACTATCTTCATGGCTATGGTGGGTTGTTCAACGATGCAAGTGGCGTATCCAGCGAAGAAGCGATATTCAGTCAAGCCTCCCATCTTGGGAATTGGAAACGTACCCCGCGACAGTTAGCCAAACTGCAGCAATATATATTTTTGATCGAGTATCAGTGAAGATTCGTGGGTAGTTTTGAGGCTTAACGATGCGGACGTATCTGTTGAAGGCCGTCATTCCCATCGTGGTTGGGGATACGTAAACAGAAAACAGGGTGAAGAAGGCGTGGAAATCGCAGACTGCCTCACCAAAAGGCCATTTCCCTGTAATAAGGACACCCACAATAAAAGAGCCTTGCATTTCTATACACGTCTATGCATAAGGACACTGTTACGGAAAAATTTACTCATTTTTCCGTGTTTGTTTGGAACATATTAATGCGTAGACTTTTCGCATTTAACCATATCCAGTTTGTTCGAGTTCATACAAGTTCTTTCATTCTAGTAAATAAAAAGATATATATATATAGAAAACCACAGTAGCTTTTGGAATAGATTTTGCTTGTGACTCGCTTTCATTATGCACCTGCACGTCGGTACTTTTGTTGTTCATTACTAGTGAAATTTTCGGTAAATAAAGTGTTCATGGTCTTTTTGAAAAGTTGGTTCTCATGGTAGTTGGCAGCTGAATTTAAACTCGTAATTTTAAATTCCTTTCATACGACAGTTTCCACACCAACCTTGCATAGATAAGCAGAAACTTTTCCACTTTTATTTCCTAAGCTGCGCTACTGCAATTAAGATGGGTATATTTTTACCAGTACTATGAATTCTCACCTAAGTTTCCTATTTCTGATGGCCTCGAGTTTATTGCATCCGTCTTTCAGTTTGAGATTCTTTTCGTCATAGAAACAGATGGAATATTTAAGTAGCTTTCGTTTAATTTCAAGGAAACATTTTCCGCTTCTTTCGTTATACTGTTCAAATATGGTAGATTTAGAGAGCAATGGAAACTCACACCAGTTCATAGTTAAGCAAGTACTTTGTAAAGCTGTTTCGATTACATGCATGACGGCGTGCCGATTACATACACGACGGCGTGCCGATTACACAGACGACCGCGTGACGATTACAATTTTAGTTTTGACTCTGGCATGATGTGTGTCAGAGTGCTCTTCGAATAAAAGTCTGCTGTGGAACCAAAACGCTATCTCATCCTTGACGTCCGTATAAGCTCGCTCGAAGTAGATCTCCGTGTGCCAGGAAATCGTGACGAGTTTCCGTTCTCGCAAGCCGAGTGGTCTCTACCGAGTTAATTTCCCCCGTTTCGTACGTTTCCCGCGAAGTTCAGTTAGAATGCGCGAAAACCTATCGTCACAACACCCACAGTAAAAGGCATTGCAATGACTGCGTTGATGATATCACTGATGACTAAAGAAATAACGTAGAGGTTTGTGGACGTCCGGAGCCTTGCATTTCTATACACGTCTATGCATATAAGGCGGTTTCCAATCAGGCACACCGTGGTCATTGTGACAAGAGGGTCTGAATGGGGTTTAGTGTTTAGTGTTATTTGTCCATACTTTTTAGTGTTTACTGTTAAATTGGTCATTTTTTTAATGTTTACTGTTCTTGAAAAAAATACTGTTTAGTGTTTGAAAGGAGACCCCAAAGTTTTTTTTAAGGATTTTCGAATCTTATCTGCTCTTTTAAATTCTGCAAGAAAATCAAGAAACTTACTCGCGAACAGTGAGCCAAAGCTGAAATGCTCTTGTCCTTAGAACCGATAATGCGCCTTACTAGACCCTCAGTACTGGATGTACGTAAGGGGATACGTTTGGTAATCCCACACAATAGTTCCTGAAACGTATCGCTTCTGGAAATCCAATCAAAGTAGTGTTTGCAAAAGACCAATTGCACTTGAAATTGGGCCCCAAGGCAAAGCACTGGCGTTAGACTACGATTTCTACTCTCGATAGTCTGGTAGAACTGCTTTTACACCGACCAGTCGATGTAAATGTTCGGAGGGAAGTATTCAAGGATGCGCGGGACCTATGCTTTACCAATGGCGTAGTCTTCGTTGCAGAGAGAGGATCATCAGCAATCCGTTTCATTAAATTGAAAGGCGAAGTACTTTTCAAACCCAGACGCCTAAAATCGCGAGCTTACTTGCTCTCGCAGCTTAGTCGTTTCAGATTGTCACTGGAGGGTACAGGTCCAGTTCTACAGAAGCGGTTGACAACACATCTGAGATCTTTAGCTGCACAAGTCGAGAACTGAATAAACAAATTGTCCATATTAACCCACCTTTAAATAAATCAACTTCCATCTGTGCGGCAAGTAAGGATATCCTCTTGTGTGCAGATGATGAGCAGAGAAGCATAATGCAGCTGGAGTTAGATTACAATGGAGTGGCTATCATCGGTAGTAGGCTGAGACAGATAAACTACTCCAATGACGTGACAAGTGTTGAATTTTTTTATGTTCTGCGGCAATCAGCATACTTGGCTGCAACTAGTGCAGCTGGAGGGTTATATGGTTGTATGGTTATATGGTTGGAGGGTTATATGGTTGGAGGGTTATATTTAGTCACCCCCTGGTACTGACTATACATGCGTTGTTATCGACTCTATTTCCACGACTTCGCGCTTGCAATGATTATATTTATCAATAGGCACTTTAAGCATGACGTTTAACGGCAAACGGCAAACGCAAGCTTGCCTTTCATTTTGTTACCTATTTATGGAATTCTTAAAAAGATCCTGCACAAAAAAATAAAATAAAATAAAATAACACATTCACGACAAACACAAACCTACTTAATTCCGTGTACACACGCCTAAAGACAGACGACAGAAATTGAATTTTTGAGGTTCGCGGGAAAAACAAACGTCATGCGTACCCTCTCAAATGACGAACTTCCCAGTTAACTAAAACAACTGGAAGTTAATTGTCTAGTGCTCCGTGATTATATACATCACCTACGTGAGGCTCAAGTTGACCTTGTTTTGATACAAACCCTGTTACTTTTGATATGCAAATCCTTTAATTGTTATGCTAACCAGTTTTTGATCTCTATCGTGTCAAGGTCAACACAAACCTCGCTTTCATACAGAGGCCTGGTTAAATATCACAGAACTGTAAAATGGTCTATTGACAGAGACAAAAACAGTTTTTTAATCCTACTCTCCCTTTCGCTTTTCAAATCACCTGCCCGTCCCCTCGCACCAACAACTCAACAACGCAACAACGTCCCCTAAATCTATCACTCTTCCCTAAGAGCGGTTTTGCAGTGTAGTGAGTGGCCCTGAGCCCCTGACCAAAATAAATATCTCGGTCCCAGGCCGCATGGTGAGATAACGAAAGAGGTGTATTAGTTTTTGGCGACAAGAAGTTAACAAAAAAAAAAACACACTGATAAAAAATAATATGATTAAACTAGCTCACGCTACAAAATTAAATGGCTGGTT